TTTTTTTTTGAAAGAAAACACCTAAATCAGCCCATCATATATGTAGATAACTCAAAATAATGCTTGTATTTTCTTCTAACTTGGGCGGGTTGCAGCAAGTCATATTGCTGAAGACTAAGACCCATGAGTGAGGAGGATTATGTTCCTTAGGCATGGAGTGTGGTACTGGATAAAGAAAAAAGGGAGAATTCGTTTAGTCACTGAAGATGTATAGCTGAGGGGCTCCTGCCTTCCGTTTCAAAAGACTGCAGCGGCACCAAACCCGCCTTCCCAGGGTCAGCTGCGGACGTCGTCTCTGTAGCCTGTTCGCCGGCCGGCTTCTGGTTTGCGGCACTCGCCGCCTCCAACTCCCAGCATGCAGTTGGGCATGGGGCCGGTACGTAGACTCCATTTCCCAGCCTGCCTCGGGGCTCGGCTAGGACGTGCCGGCGCCTATAAGAGCCGGAGCGCTGCGGCCGGAGCCTATTGTTAGCCGGAGCCGGGGCGGTTCTGTGCTTGTGCTGCCAGGGGCGCCTGAGTTGCCGGAGCCGCCCGCCCCCCGCCGCCTGCCTGCCGGCCGGCCGGCCGGCCAGCCTGCCCACCCGCCCTCCCTCCCCGCCCTGCCGCCCTGGGAGCTCCCCGACCGTCGCCGCGGGGCCCGGGACTCGCTCACTCCTCCCTCCTTCCCACCCGGGCTAGGGCGGCGGCGGCGGCAGCGGGGGCGGCAGAGACCATCACGGGAGGAGGCAGCTGCGGCGGGGCTGGTAATGGGCCTGGGGGTGCGGGGCGGAGGGTGCCGCCTCGTCCTTTTTCGGGATCGGCCCTCGGGCGGCTGTGGAGGAGTGGTCAAACCCAGAGCCGTGCGGATGGAGGGGTCAGAAATGAGGGAAGCTCGGACGGGAGCGGTCGGAGGGCGGGGAGCTGGGGCGCCGCTGGGAAGGAACGGAGTCGGGGAGAGGCGTGGGAGCGAGGGGCACCGAGGATGCGGGCCCGGACTACGGGGGTAGCTCGAGGGAGACGGATGGGCGCCTTGGAAGCCGGCAGGATTGCGGATGAGGTTGAGTTCGGAAAGGAGTGGAGAATGATGTAGGATGGAGGGAAGGGGGGGGGGGCGGGTAGAGGAAAATGTGGGAGGAGTGGTTGGGAATTTGTGAGTAGCAGTCAGGAAGGGATGAGGAAGGCTGAGTACGGGCTGCAAATGATTGGAATGAGCGGGAAGGTTAGCAGGAATCAGAAATGGGTCGAGAGCTGAAAGATTCCTCAGGGGTGCTTATTAAAGGGAACTGGTGACTTGACATGACCCTTAAGCCTTGGTTTCTGATATCCCCCATTTTTCTGGCGTTGTGTATGAAAATGAAAGCATCACTTACCCTGGTTGCTAGCTTGATCTTTTTTTTTACAGGCCCAAACACGCAGCCGACTGCCATCCATCCCTTTTAGCCTTGATTCAGCCTTTTAAAGGGGTTTAGAGTGGCAATGTGACACACAAACCATTCTTCATTATGAAAGGTTAGAAGTTATCCCCAAGAGACAACACTGTACCCTTGTCCTGCAATTTTCAGTTCATGGTAAATCCGTAGTTAATTCAGATTTTCCTTTTCTTTACTGGCTTTCCATCTTGCAAATCTCCAAAGCCAGGATGTTGGTGTGTGCCAGAGTTATAAATGACGGGATATCCTTGAGAGCTAATGCAGCATCATGTTCCAGTTCTACTACAAAGATCTTGTGTCCTCCCTGTGATGGTAGTTCAGACATGGAAAGTTCAGTTCTAACCTTGTGTTAGTGATGGGTAAAAACCCGAGTAGGTATGGGAAGGGAGCTTTTTCTAAACACCTTGTTTAAACAGGAGGTTTTTACTTGAGTGCTTTTTTAAATTTGTGAACCTGGTGATCACAAGGACACATGGATTTATGAAATTCATAGTATTCGAGAATCAATCACAGTGTCTCATAAAAGGGGGAGCATGGCAGACTATCTCAGTCAAGTTTATCCTGACACTTTAGCAGTAAGCCTTACTTCCTTTAACTCAGTTATGGGTAGCCCATAAGATCTTACTACAGATTTTGGTCTCTTGACCTTTAGCAGAAGATTGGGTTCCAGTTGAGTGGGGAGACTTTCTTCTGAGAGATATACCCTGTTTTATTATTTTGGATTCATTTAAGAAAGAGGCTGATATTACCTAAACTTTGCATATATATTCTACCACAGAACTTTTTACTGGGCTGACCCTCTTGCTAGTTTCACATATGCAGGGACTTTGGGTTTGTTTTGGTGCTTATAGGACACCTTATGGGCCTGAAAAAACTTAGATCTTAGTACTGAAATACATCTTCTGGTTTTATTTGGTGCCAGTCTATAAAGTCTTTTACATACTGTAGATCTGAACAGTTTTATATACCTTTTGGAAATGTTCATCTACCAACACTTGAGAAAAGACCATAAGGCATATAGCCAGAAAGTGTCAGCTGACCTTCATTTCACCGGCATTTAAAAGCTTTTATAGAGGGAAACATTATTTGTCCAAAAGTATTTGTTATTTGAGTTGGTCATTTTGACAGTTAACTGTCAGTTATGACTGCATTTCCAGTCTCACCTTGATTATTTCCATATAGGTTTAAGTGCTCGGAGTGTAACTTATAAGATTATCTCTTGAACACAAGCATTGATCCTCTACCAGTGGATATTTAAGAGAAGTGGGAATGACTCATTTTTAGTTCTGGTATGAAAGATTAGTTTCGTGAACAGGCAAGTATAGAACCTGTTCTAGTTGTTTCCCTTGCAAAGAAAGATCTCTTCAGGTCCCAGTGAACATGGTTGGGAAGTTTGTTCTTGGTGCTCATGAGCATCTTTATCTGTCAAGTTCACATCAGAGAGTTGAGCAAGGAGAGTTGTGTTGAAATGTAAACTTTTATTATTAGGCCATGATAGTTGGAATTTTAAAAATTTAAATAATGAAGTTAATGACAGAAAAAGTGATGCTCATAAATCTTGGGAAAGGTGAATAGAAGTAGAACAGTGCAGTCTCCTTAAGGATTTTCTGGTGTTCCATCCAAGTTGATGCAATTTTATTTGTTTTGTTGCTTGTTTTCATTTTATTGTTTTTTCTGGTGCTGGGGATTGAACATAGGGCCTCAAGCAAGCGTTCTACCACTGAACTGCATTCCCAGATCTTATTAATGGGATAGTTAGATCATGGCTCATTATTTATACATATAGATTCTGGTTATTCTCAGATAACTCAAGGATTCTCTTGATTTCACATACACACATACACCTCTTTCCCCCCTCCTCTCTTTCTCTTTTCTCCTTTTCTTTCTTACCTACCTCCATCATTACCCAGAAACCACTATTCCAGAAGAAGTGTGGAAGACATAGAAAAAAAGGAGGAAGGGACTAGATAAAGCAGCCAGCAATCCTTGCTGCACTTGAGTGTACAAAAGGCAACCCTAAGGGAAATTATACTCTAGAGGGCAACTGAGTTAAGACAGTGGAGAATTTTAGTAACAAAGATGATTTTGGACCAGACCCAAGCTAGTGTGGGATTTAAAGAGAAATATTCAAAGGACACTCAAACTACTTGAAGCAAAGGTACACCTGAGGAAAAAACGGGAGTGCACATTTGCTTCTAATCATAAATCCTGAGTGTTTCCAGGCCAAGGAAAATGCCATTTTTCTCTAGTACTAGCATTAACTGGAGCTAGTTAAAACTGAAAGTGGACTTGAGCCCTTTCTGAGAAAGCAGATTTTTCAGCTCAGTCTGATATCTCATGTGGGCAATAAGGTATTTATTAAGTAGGAAAAATTAAGTTCAGTAGTCAGCATTATTATTATTTATTTGTTTACATTCACATAAGTATTCAATTATAAAGGTGTCCCCCTCATGCCCTTGTGACCAATAATACAGTGGAATGAGAAATTTGTTAGTTGTTAGGTATCTTTACATCCAGAGAAAATCTTCTCTCTCTTTTTTTTTTTTGAACCTGGAATTGAATTCAGGGGCACTTAACCACTGAGCCACATCCCCAACCCCTTTGATTTTTTATTTAGAGACAGAGTCTCACTGAGTTGCTTAGGTCCTCGCTAAGTTCCTGAGGCTGGCTTTGAACTCACAATCCTCCTACCTCAGGCTCCAGAGGTTCACAATCCTCCTACCTCAGGCGTGTGCCACCGCACCTGGCCTAGCAAAAATCTTAACCCCTAAAGTGTTCTCCATTCTCATCATGTCCTAAGAATGTAGCCCTCTGATTAGTAACCTAAAGAACAGAAGATACTTTGGGCTCACTTTTAATTACAATTCTTATGAAGTACTTAATTATTTTTTTCCTTCCTGCCCAAATTTATTTGAAAATGTGTTTGTCTGAGACCTATGACAGCTGAGGGTTTTTAGGTACATCTTATAACTTGAATTAGAGACTTTTGATATGATCTGAATAGATTAGGAAATATCTTCTTTAAAGTACTTATTAGGTCTGGTTGATTTTCTAGAGCTGATCCAAATTACTTCCAAGAGACACAGGCCAGAAAAATAGCTCTGTACAGGCACCTTTTTCCTCCATGGTATATATCCTGGGTAGCTACTCTGCAGTAATACAGCTTTGTCGTTCTGGGCAGTGTTGTTATTCCTGCTGCATAATTAGCAACTAGTGAGATCATAGTCTGGGGAGATTCTGGCATTACAGAGGCAAAGCAAGAGAGGCTTCTCATCACACATGGCTTTGGCTCTGACAGCATTTCTCCTGAACAAATTCATGTCCTTCTGGAACTTAAGTCCAAAGACAGATAAGGAGAAAGATTTGTACCTGGGAAGTGAACTTTAGGACTCCTTGGTTGTGTGACAGCTTATTGAAAACACTGCCTGCCATATTGATGTAACCAGAATCAAAATTGTCACTTCTTTTGCTATTTGTTTTCCCCTTGCTGATTTCTTTTCAGAGGTCAAAGATTGTAAAGCTACATTCTCCTTGCACAGAGGATGATGATAGACCAGTATGAGATTATGAAAGATTCTGGTTGTTTTTGCTTTTATTTTGTGTTGTGGTGATAGGGATTGAACTCAGAGCTTTGTGTATGTAGGCAAGCTGTCTACCACTTACCTACATCTGCAGCCCCAGATTCTGGGTTTTGAAGCCAGTACAGATTGTAATCTTGGGACCTTTAGTACTAAATTTGACCTTTTTAAAAGTTGGTGAGACAGTTTATACTTGTGAAGATCTGGGTCAAGGGTATTCATGACTGCCAGTACCTTCAAAATTGAGAGCCTGGAGCAGTATTTCCAAAGGTGTGTTCTGAGGATTATCTGTTCCCTAACATATTTTGGAAACAGTGGGTTCCATAATCAGGTTTGTGAAACACTGCATTCTGTTTACTCCCGGCCTTTGCCGTGTATATTAATATATTAAAAGCCTCTAAGAGGTTCTGCCATAAGCAGTTTTCTAAACAATTTTGACACAGTAGTGCTATTTCCATGTAAAAGCTATTAATATCCATGGAATTAATATATTTAAGATACACACTTTGAGAAGTGCCAGGCTGTTATGTTATTACTAGGAAAAATAATTGGGTCTAGTCTTGGTTTAGGCAAAGCTTAATTCCACCTCTGATCTCCAGTCCCTCCCACTGGTTCCTTGGAGAACCGCTCCTATGTGATCAGAAGAACATTGACTGTTATCTTGGGCTAATGAAGCCTAAGCCCAGCTGGATTGGAATCAGAGGCATTCCCTCCATTGGGAAGGGTGCTGCTGCAACTCTTCTCACTATTCTAAGAGTGACTGATCCTGGAGGAGCTGATAGAAAATAAAAGTAGGCGCATACTGGCCAGAATCAGTTGAGAAATGACCTAATCTTGAGAACCAGACGTTAGTGCTAAGTCAGGTACTTTCTTTCTTCAGTTAGAGAGCTGTGTATGTAGACTTAGGAGGGGTCTGTCTTAGGAATGCTGATTCCTCTTTTCCCCTGGGCAGAATCCTAATGCAGCGGGTTAGCTGGTGGTGAGCAGAAGCTTGGGGCCAACCTGGTAGGCTCCCCAAGGAAACCCTTTGAAACCAATGGATGCATTCACGGGCTCGAGTCTCAAAAGGAAGTTTGATGATGTGGATGTGGGCTCATCAGTTTCCAACTCAGATGATGAGATCTCCAGCAGTGACAGTGCTGACAGCTGTGACAGCCTCAATCCTCCTACAACTGCCAGCTTCACACGTGAGTAAGCCACTCCCTTCCTGCCTGCGCCCAAATTCCCCAAGCATAGAGCCTACTGCAGCTCTCCAGATAGCATCTGTCCAGTTTCAGGATTTGCCCTTATCACAGTTTTTCCTTGCTTTGCAGAGGACCTTGTCGCTCCGTTAGTGTAGACTGAAATCTGATTTATTCTTACTGATTTTATTTGTGTTGTGGTTTGTGGGTCCCCAGAGTGGCCTGAATTAGATCGAAGAAGTAGTTCAGGACTCTATCCTTCCCCAAGCAGAATCCCCCCAGAGGTTCAAGAAATTAAGAGCTGTACCAGGACATAATACATGCTTGCTGCCTAGACAACTGGGACCCCTCCAGAGTTCTTAATTCTTATGGCTCAATTAGTTCTTGGAAAGAACTTCTGATCATCTAAATCAAGGGCCACATCTAGCCCATTGCCTGATTTTGTAAATAAAGTTTTATTGGAACACACTTATATCTGTGATTGCTTTCATGCTATGACAATAAGAGTTGAATAGTTGCAACAGATACCATGGCTTTAGAGCCTAAAATATCTATCTGGCCTTTTAGGGGAAAAGTCTTGCCCTCCCCCCTGCTATAGGTAAATTCTGTCCAAAAGAATTTTCTATTATGATAGAAATATTTTATATTTGCATTGTCCCGTGGTAGCCATTAGCCACATAAGACTCATGAGCACTTGAAATGTGATTAGTGTAACTGAGGCTGTGACTTTAAATTTTTTAAATTTTAACTAACTTGAATTGCCACATGTGGTCAGTTAAGTTATAGATTATTATATCTTAAAAAGATCACCTAGCAGTCCTCTACCCAGCTGCTGTCTAAAAATAGATTTTGTGGTAATCTGATTAGGTGATGTCAGTCTAGAGGCAGTAGTATGAACCAGTGAGGTTCAAGGTCCTTTCTAACTATGCATTTATGATTTGAAAATTTTAGAAAGTTCTGTAGATGCAAGGAGCGCATTTAGAGGAGGGAAGTTAAGAGCCTAGATGAATGAGAAAGAGCAAGGTCCCAAAACAGGCCATCTCTGGGTTAATAATCTCTTTCTGTGCTCTCTTCTCAGCCACATCCATCCTGAAGCGGCAGAAGCAGCTACGGAGGAAAAATGTCCGCTTTGACCAGGTGACGGTATACTACTTTGCCAGACGCCAGGGTTTCACCAGTGTGCCCAGCCAGGGTGGTAGCTCTCTGGGCATGGCCCAGCGCCACAACTCTGTACGCAGCTATACACTCTGTGAGTTTGCACAAGAGCAGGAGGTGAACCATCGAGAGATTCTTCGTGAGCATCTGAAGGAAGAGAAACTCCATGCCAAGAAAATGAAGGTGCCTAAGGGGTCCGGGGTCTGGTACTTCCCATATGCCAAGAAAATGTGGGAACTGATCTAGGTCTGTTGATTTTAGGGTTATTGTCAAGTTTCTCTCTTTATGGGCCTGAATAGGGACATGAAGTTCCATTGATTTTTTTAAATTTGATGGTTGTCCTTGTCATATAGAGATTCCAGAGCTTTCTAAAAAGAAGTCTCAATTTTTGCATTCAGATCTTTCTGAGAGGCTGGGGTTGTGGCTCAGTGGCAGAGCACTTGCCTAGCATGTGTGAGGCACTGGGTTTGATCCTCAGCGCCACATTTAAATAAATAAAAAATAAAAGTACATCAACAACTAAAAAATATTTAAAAAAAAAAAATCTTTCTGAGCCTCCCTTCTTTTTTGTCTCTGGAGGTATCTTCCAGAGATAGCAAAAACCCTTCTCTGGAATTCCCTTTCCTCACCCCCAACCACCCAATAATTTTTTTTTTTTTTAAATTTAAAATGTGCATACCTGAATGCTTTCAGGTCTGTCACCCCCTAGAACTCAAAGAGAACACAATGTTCAATTTCTTACCAAATGATTTTTCCCTTGCCCAGATATGTGGGACAGATTTGGGGTCTTTTCATATTCTCTGCTCTTTCTATGACCTCATTACATTATCACATAGGTACTTAAGAGTCATATAATATTGTATCTTATCATCTGATATGCACCAGCTCTTTAGGTTAGGTGGAGAAAGGGGCTGGGAAAAGACCCATCTCAGATGGCTCTTTATAGCCCCCCATTTGCTATCTTAGTACTGTTTTGGCACTCTATGGCTGTAGTTTTCACAGGTCTCAAAAATTTCCATGGCTGTATGTGTGGCTTAGGGGTAGAGCACTTGCCTACTATGCACAAGGCCCTGGGTTCAATCCCCAGCACCACAAAAGAAAATAAATTTCCCCTAGGTTTCTTTTGGGCCTAAAGCATAGTGACCCATGTTAAAATAGGTGGTTGCATTTTTCCAAGGTTGTAGATTCACTAGAATGTGGAAGAATTGGAAACTAGTGGCAGAGGATATAGGCTGACCAGATCTTATTCCTATCTCTCCTTGAAAGCTTTATGTCTGCCTCCCTCAGCCTACTCCTAAAAGCCTTACACCTGTTTTTCTAACTAGAATGACACCCAGGCGTCCCTTTCTTCTGTCTGAGGAATTCCATCACTGGCCCTATCATCTTCCTGCTACTATAGCAACAGCTGGGCAAGTAAACACTCTTCTCGTTAATTGCAGTGAAGGCGCTCTTCCTTTGCCCTAGAAGAAAACGCCTTTCTTCTAAATCTGGTAGTGGAATAATCTATCAAAGCAAGACACCATCCAATCCAGTTCTGTGCCCCATCCCCCAATAGGAATTCCAAGGACAAAGCCAGGTAAATCCAGGACTGAGATACTAGATTCCTCCTTATTAGCAGGATATTCATTTAGTGAGCACCAGCAGAAGTGGCATCTAATATGTCTTTAAATGTCAAAAGAAAAATCCTTGCTTGACCTTTCTCAGGTCTAGTTTACTTTTTTTCCTGTCTTTAGCATCCTATAAGGGATGCAGTTGGTCTCAAAAATATATTTGCCATCTAATATTTGTTTTCCTTTTCAGCTGTTTTTCTTGTCACTCTTTGGAGCTCTGCAGCTTTAGTTACTTATAATTTTTCTAATATTTTAGTTTGTATTTTGTTATGTCCATATGGAATTCATTATCATGAATGGTATGATCGGGAGTATAGCCCTTCTTTCCTAAAGGATATCCAGGTGTCCCAATATCGCTTAATAACTAGAAGACTCTTCACTGATTTGAAATGCCACTTCTGTCGGAATAAACTCTCCTATCTACATTCTACATGGGTTTCTTTCTCTGCATCTCTAATCTCTTTCCTTTGAGAGGATAGTAGAAGGGAAGCCCACACGGGTGACCCAGAAAAAAGCAATCCTAATGTCTATAAAAGGGCACCTTGTAGTTGCCTACCTGGTTCAGAAATAAGGCTGGGAACTCCAAGATCCTGCACTTTACTTTCCTCATTCCTGACAACTTCCCCTTTCCCCCAAACAAGCAAACAAACTGAGTGTGTAGCTTACTGCTCAGGTTTGTTGCATCACATCTCTCCCAGGAGCTGATACTTTCCCAGCACTCTCTCTGGTTGTCTGATGAAATAAACCAAAGACTCCAGTCACTCAGCTTTCATTCTGCCAGCAGCTTCCAGAGCCCCAGGGACTGTAGGGCCTCATTTGGATTCTCTAGTGAGTTTGCAGAACTCATTCAGCCACAGATTGTCTTCAATCTGTCCTTCCACAGATTCCATTTCCTGGCTTCTATCCTCTTAGCCCAGAAAACTCAGATTTCTGCCCTTAGATAGCACACTTGGTTTTATTTATACCACCCTACCTGACATGGAATTCTTCTTTGAAGTCAAATAAAAAAGGATTAGAAAGGAAAAAGAATACATTTCTTTTACACCCTGGGCTAGGAGGGCTTTCTTTGATGGCTGTTGATAATTTGCTCATTTTCCACCAATAAAATGAAGCTTTTCTGAGCGTGCACAAATAATGGTTCATGCTGTGAGGATTCAGGTTCATTGGCAAACACCTTTTAGCTGCTATTACACTTTAATACTTTAAGGTACCCTTTTCCTCAGAAGGTGGTCTTAGGTTCTATGAGGTGCACATTGAAGGGTGTTTTACAAGGTTATTCGTTAATCTCAGGAATAACCAGCTATTGATACACCTTTTTCCCCATGTCAAAAGGCAAATGGGCTGAGCTGGAAGTGGTGACACACACCACTAATCCCAGAGACTCAGGAGGCTGAGGCAGGAAGATTGGAAACTCAAGGCTAGCCTCAGCAACTTAGCAATACCCTGTCTCAAAATCAAAAATAAAAAGGACTGGGGATAGAGCTCAGTGGTAACACCTCTGGCTTTAATTCCCCATACCAAAAAAAAAAAAGCAAGTGAGCTGAATTATGGAAATGAAGGGAATGTTTCTGGGAATAAATTTTCTTCTAGGAGGGAGGATGAGACAGTGGTTTTCTGAGAAGCTTGAACCCAGAAAGATGATGTCCCTTTTGTTGACAGGGTGATATTAGAGCCACAAAAGATTTCCTGCCTTTCTGCTCTGGTTTTATTCTCTTGTCCTTTGCTTTTCAATATAGTGCCTACTAGCCACATGTGGCTATTTAAATTTAAAATTAACTGAAATTAAAAACTTGACTTGTCATTTGCCACTTTTCTAGTGCTCAGAGGCCACCTGTAGAGTGACTGCTGTGTGGAATAACACAGATCTTCCCCCAGTGCAGAAATTCAGGGGAACACTGCTATCCTGATTACTGTGAGGAGGCTTATGTTGCTAATGCTTCAGAGGCTAACCTTTCCTGTCTCTTGCAGCTGACCAAGAATGGGACCGTGGAGTCGGTAGAGGCTGATGGCCTGACACTGGATGATGTTTCAGATGAAGACATTGATGTGGAAAATGTGGAGGTGGATGATTACTTCTTCCTGCAGCCTCTTCCCACCAAAAGGCGACGGGCCCTGCTTAGGGCTTCTGGGGTTCACCGCATTGATGCTGAAGAGAAGCAAGAACTTCGAGCCATCCGCCTATCTCGGGAAGAATGTGGTTGTGACTGTCGACTATATTGTGACCCAGAAGCATGTGCCTGTAGCCAGGCTGGGATTAAATGCCAGGTCAGTCAAAGTTGGCCTGAGATAGTGCATCTATCAAGGTCATGGGGTATGGTGCGGGTACCAGGGAAGATGGGTGGCTGCCCATCCAGGGATGGAAGCCCCTAGCTGTGAACACACTCCAAGTCTACAACCCTCCTCCACCAACAAAGGAAACAAGCATGACAGGATTCTTTCGGTGTGGAGGTATCTATTATCTTTGTGTTTCATACCTCAGAGGTGATAAGAAGCAGCTGTTAGCAAAGGAAAGAACAGAGGTTAGTATGGTTACCATTTAATAACTGTTCCTGACTGATTCCTTGAGATAAAAGGAAGCAGAGAAATGAGATGGGCCTAGAGATGCTATCTGCAAACACTTGTAGAACCTCTACTCCAATTTTGTAAAAACCAAAATGGCTTTGAGATCCTTTAATTCTGGATCAAGCCTAGGCTGGCAGAGCTTAAATCCTTAGTTTTCTCTAAGAAAGTAACATCAGCCGGGCTGGGGTTGTGGCTTAGTGGTAGAGCACTTGCCTAGCACGTGCGAGGGCTGGGTTCGATCCTCAGCACTGCATAAAAATAAATAAAGGTATTGTGTCCAACTACAACTAAAACAAAACAAAAAAAAATTTTAAAAAGTAACATCAGCTAAGTGACAAGGAACAGTTGCAAAGATATATTTCAATAGAAAAATAGCAGAAATAGCCCAGAGAAAAAAATTTGTCTGGAAGTTGTATTCTGAGCATATGGATGCTGAGTGGTTTTGGTTGTGTTTTCCCAACCAACCTTTTCTTTCTGATTTTTAACTAGGTAACAAATAGCTGTAGCAGATCTGGCCAATAAATTGTTTTTCAGACTAAAGTCCCATAATGAATCAGTCTGTTACACACCTGATGACAGACCTGGTATGCAGATTTCTTTAAGTTGATACCATTAGGAAGACATCGAATATTTGTTTACTCATATTTCTAGTTTTATATTTTTGGCAATTTTTGTCTTTGTTTTTTCTTTTTGGATATGAAGGGGAAATTTGGAAATAGGAAGCATGTCTTTTCCAGATAGCCCTGGTCTGTAAGTAAATTATCTTGGTTAATGCTTCAGAACTAAACTGGTCATTCCCCAGGAAAAATGAGTGAAATGATAATAAACAGCTGGCCATTGCTTGAACCTTCATTCTAGCACCTTAGCAAACTAAGGCACCTTTGTTTAGTTTCCCAGAAGGTATTGCTTTGTTTTAGTAAGATCTTCCACTCACTTTCCCATGCTTGTCATTGCAGAAGACCAGGTAAATTCTGGAAGTCCCTAGATACATAAATTTCTACTGAGACCAGTCAGCACTAGGGTATCTCTGCATTCTCTAACCAAAAGGAGCCTTTGATATGATTTTTGTCACTTTTTATTCAGAAGAGGAAACAAAGCCCTAGGGGGAAATACATGAGTCCAGGTCATACCACTAATTAATGACTGAGCTGGAATGCAAGCACAAGTGGTCTTGTAACTGCCATCTAGTGCTGTCAGCTTGTGCTGCATGTTTTAAATTGCTTGCTTCTTGTAGGAAGACCTCAAATCCCAACTGCCTGTGTTTGCCAGCTAATGTCTCCTATCTCCACTGTTAGATTCTTGCGTCACCCTCCTTGTGTCCCCCTCAGGTGGATCGCATGTCCTTTCCGTGTGGCTGCTCCAGGGATGGCTGTGGGAACATGGCTGGGCGCATTGAATTTAATCCAATCCGAGTCCGGACTCATTACCTCCACACCATCATGAAGCTGGAGCTAGAGAGCAAGCGGCAGGTGAGCTGCCCGGCAGCCCCAGAGGAGGAGCCCTCACCCACTGCCAGTTGCAGCCTGACAGGAGCCCAGGGCTCCGAGACACAGGACTTCCAAGAGTTCATCGCGGAGAATGAAACAGCAGTGATGCACCTGCAGAGCGCAGAGGAACTGGAGCGGCTCAAGGCCGAGGAAGACTCTAGCGGTTCCAGCGCCAGCCTGGACTCAAGCATTGAGAGCCTGGGTGTGTGCATCCTGGAGGAGCCCCTGGCCGTTCCTGAAGAGCTGTGCCCAGGCCTCTCAGCCCCCATTCTCATTCAGGCTCAGCTGCCCCCAGGCTCCTCCGTCCTGTGTTTTGCTGAGAACTCAGACCACCCGTCTGCTTCCACGGTGAACAGCCCATCCTACTTGAACAGCGGGCCCCTGGTCTACTACCAGGTGGAGCAGAGGCCAGTCTTGGGAGTGAAAGGAGAGCCTGGTACAGAAGAAGGCACAGCTTCTTTCCCCAAGGAGAAGGATCTGAGTGTCTTTTCTCTCCCTGTTACCTCACTGGTGGCTTGCAGCCCCGCAGACCCAGATGCCCTCTGTAAATCAGAGGTGGGGAAAACACCCACTCTAGAAGCGCTATTGCCCGAAGATTGTAACTCTGAGGAGCCCGAGAATGAAGACTTCCGCTCCTCTTGGTCCCCCTCAAGCCTCCCTTTCCACACGGACACTGAAGAAGGCTGTGGGGTGGAGAAGACCTCCCAGCAGAATGAGGACCGACCCCCTGAAGAGTCTGCCCTAGAACTCCCTCTAGCAGTGTGATATGGGGGTGGAGATACTGCCTCGCACCCATTCTCTATTTATTCCCTTATTTTATCTAATGCCATTTCAAAACAAAACTGTAGAAGCAGCTGCTGCTCCCATGTTATTTTATTGGGGTCTATGGGAAATGGGTGGGAAAGGATTGTTTGTACAAGTATTTTTTAAAAGGGAAACAGTACCAAGGAAACCAGCCCCAGCTTGATGTGGGGATAGGTTAGAGGAAGCTGCACAGTGCTGAACACTGAGCTTTCTGGGCCATTGGAACAAAGCCGTAGGACCTCACAGGAGGAGCTGGGTAATTCAAGCAGCTATTTATGTAGGGACCAGAACACGAGAATCTGTACACAGGGCAAAAAGTCCCTGCTCTCCTGGGCTCCAGGCAGAGTGAAAGCTTATTTCTCAGTGGTTGCTCTGATACCCATTTTGGTATATCCAGTCATACTATTGGAAAGGCCACCTGGTTGGATCTAGTGAGGAGAGGCAGAAAGGTCTCTGTTTCTGTACAAAACCTCCAGGATTTCTAAAAATTTACCATACCTTCCCCGGATCCCCTATTTGATAAATAAGTTAATATTTGACATGTTTGGTGTTCCCTGACCTGCTCCCCATACTGGGGATTCTTGGTCTATAACTTGAATTGTTTCTTTCACATGTTCTTAGATATAGAGTTAAACTTGTCTTTTTTTCCTCCATCCTTTTTCCTTTGAAGAAAAAGTGAGATTGGCTGGGGATGTGGTATAAAGAGCCTGAGGCTTCTGCCATCGTCTTAACATGAGCTCTGTTGTTGGGCAGCTTCCGGCTGGGCTCACCCATCCCCTAGGAAGCCTATATGGAGCATTAACTATATCCAAAGGAGGCTGCAGGAACAACCTGCTGTCTGGAAAGATGACTTTATTTGTGTCATGCTTACTTTTTCACACAGGTTTTTTTCCCCCCTCTTTGGGAGATCTGAGCTTTAAATGTAATGTAAGATGTGGCAATTTAAGGTCACCGACTAGTTTTTGTGTATCCACACTCATGGTCCTTCTTTGATATACAGGGTTACACAGTTCTTATACTACTCCAGTTCAACCCCAAGAATTGCAAATGTTTATTGCTGCTTGATAAGATATAAAATTGGAATCTACCAATTCTTAGATGCCACGTAGAATTTCCAGGTTCCAAAGGATTAAGATCTGATTGTAACCTTTGAAATGTATAAAGTGGGATTCAAATTCAGTTCTTACCTCTGTCAATGGTTCCTGTTCCTTTTATGTTTATGTTTCAATCAAGATCTGCTCCATGAACAACACTGATTTATTTTATGTTTTAAAATGAAAATGGTAGGGAGCAAAACACTATTCTTTAGCATCTTTAACACCATACTTCACATCTGGTATGCTTTATTAACCAGTTTAAAAACACTTCTGGTGGGCAGGGAGAGTGGGGGAGATAATTATTCTTACTTATCTTGCTCATAAAGCCTTTTCTTGGGGGATAGCCAGGCCCTGGTACGTTAAAGCAGCCTTCAGGTATGTGGCAGCAGCATTTCACTTATAAAATCTAAGCCTGAGGGCCTTGTATTTATTTAATACAGATAAATATTTTAACCCATTCCGCCTTTCCTGTTCATTCCTGTTTTTGCTTGGTTTTATGTTTGGAGGGAAGGTCTTAAGTTACATAGGTCCATATCTCTCCCCATCACCCAGCCTCACAAAATAATTGAGTCTTAAGTACCTTCAATCTATATGATCTAGATGCTTTTCCAAACTGAGCTGCACTCCCCCACCTTAGACTGGAACCATGGAACCCAAGACTGAAGCTTACTTGGGATTTTAGTTCTATGGAAAAAAATATTTTCTCAAGTTTGTTAGGAGAGGGAGAGCTCTATAGACTCCCTCCGTAGGAAGCCTCCTGCTTAATTTAGGAAGTGGATTCCAACAGCTCGCTAAGAAATACATTAGCCTTTGGGATCAAATGAATTTAAATTTGTTATTATTAAACTCATTGCCAATCCATAAGGTAAGATACATGATATTTCTACAAAACTCTAGTTTCTTAATCTAAGTCCATCCCTTTATTAACTCTACAATTCTGATTCACGCTGACCCCAAACTTCTGAATGCTAAATATTAACATTTAGCATTAACTGTTGTCAAGCAAAGGGCCTTTTCTACAGTCTAGTCCATCTCACTTCTGGTGCTACCCGAGTTGGACAAAATTATAGCTCATGGTTGCTAGGAGAGCTAGGCCTCTGATCATAGAAGCAGATTGCTTCAATCCCACTTAGTCTTGGCCTTGATTAAAAAAAAAAAATGATTCTTATTAACATAATTCTTATTTTCCAGTTTCCTTTCTCACATACTGTATACAGGTAGTATTTTCAATGTGAATCCAAAGCTCGTCTGGTTCTCTGAAAACAATTTTCCCCCTTTAGGTTCTTTACATTGTGATAATGCTGTATTTAAAGAGAATATTTAAATGTAATATTAAAGAAATATTCAAAAGAATGGTGTGTTATTCTTTATCTTGGCCAGCCACAATTTAGTTACTTGTTAGAAAAAGATGCTTCTCCAGCTTTGTATATGAAACTAATTAGGTCAGTTAGGAATTAAGGTTAACAAAAGAAACACTTTGTGATGGAAATGTAGAATGTTCTCTTCAGCCTATCTTGCCTCAGGTGCTGTTACGCACCTCTTCAACTGAAGCAGGCCTTGCTTCTGCCTTGTTAGACCTTCACGCTGACTGTAGTCCCATTTTTCTCTTTTCCTGGTTACCACCTTAAAATGTCCACCCAAAGATCAACTTAAAATCGGTTCCTTTAAAACTTCTGTCAGAAGGATCTATATCAACCAATTAAATCCCCATTAGTTAGGTTATGTCAGTCTTGGAAAAGGAGCCTTAGCAAAATGATTAGAGTGTGCATAAGTAATTTCCATCAACTGATTTCAGGCAGTCTTTACTTGGGTTTAAAACAGTGCTCCATGCATTTACAATAAGTTATTACAGAACTACAGGTCAAGAATGTACACACAAAAGCTAAACCCAACTTACTATCTCGATGCAGATCTTCCTGGTCTCCCAGGGCTGGGCAGTAATTAGTACCTTATGGGTTTTGACCCATGGCCCAAAGAAGGCAGCCACTGTTGGTTACAGTTGGATTGCTGCAACACAGTGGAGGTAGCAAAGAATTTAAGATCTTTATGGGCTGTATGACAGCCCAGAAATTAAGACAACGGGGGATGAAGGCTGTAAACACTAGGGAAGGGATTAGATGGTACTTCCTTTTTATCTTTTCCTTTACAATGTTCCCATAAGTTAATACTTGAAAAAAAAAATTTTTTAAGGTATTCAAAGGATTCTAAAAGGAAAGGAAGTGGTTAGCTCATGCCAGTGAGAAAGAAAAACAAAAATCCCTCTTTTGGTCATATCAGGATGGAAGAGCACATTGAAGGATGTACATTTATGTAAATGCTCCAGATTAAGCAGTGTTGTTCTTGCCAGCCAGAATTTTTTTTTTTTTTCTCTCTCTCTTTTTTTTTTTTTTTTGGTACCAGGGATTGAACCCAGGGGCATTTACCCACTGAGTCAAATTCCCATCCCTTTTTATTTTTTGAGACAAGTTCTTGCTAACTTGTTGAGGCTGGCCTTGAACTTGTGATCCTCCTGCCTCAGCCTCCCAAGCCACGGGGAGGCGCATGCCACCATACCAAGTGCCAATCAGAAATTCTTTAGAATATAACTGTAGAGAACATGGCAGTTGATGAATCTTAGGCCAAATGATTCCCACTGGGGGCAATAACTGACTTTATAGGACCTGACCATAACACACACAGGAAAAGACTAGTTAAGAGGTTGCTGCCAGCTCCAGCTTACTGTGAAGATGGGAGGACACTTCACATGGGCCATCCCTGAAAAGAGGGTTTGTTTTAGTTCAAGCTGTAAGGGGAATGACTGCAGTTCCCTCATGGGTAGTGTGCTGTGAAGCCCATTGCACCCACTCCTCTGCCTCCCACACACCTGAGAAGTGCACAGACTCTGCTGACAAGTGCTGTTTGGTCCCACACTGCTATGCTACGCGACTGCAGGACAATGCCATCCACTCCACAGTTCTCTCAGCGCCTTGTCCCAAGGTAGTTGGTGGAAAGCAGGACCACGTTGTGCAGCAAGAGGGACAGCTCAGCTTCTGGAAATACCATCAACGTTAGTGGTTTGGCTAGAGGACTACCTACCTTCTTGCCTCAGTTTATAGGACTTGAAACTGGAGGCAGGAAGCCAAGAAAGGGGAATCAGAGGTGATGGTTCTCAAAGTTCCCTTGCTTCATTCCAGACCCTGTACAAATGCTTTCCTTCGCTTCCACTATATATTCATGTTAACTCATCCTCTATGTCTTGATTCAAGTGATGACAGTAGAAAATTCAGAAGTGGCAATGGTACTCAGCACTACTGTTACCTTGGGATTCTCCTGGTAGAAATGGACGCTCTAGGGCATTTCTCAGCTTCAAGATTAGTATACCTACCCTGACATGCAAAGGCCTAGAAAACATCAAAACCTGTGCAAAAGTTCTGAACAGAAGACTGATACGCCTGATACTCGCCCTCAGATACTTTCTGTTTAGCTAGTAGAATACTTTTCTATTGTTTTCAATTCAATGCCTTTAGGATCAGTGCTTCTTAACTGGGACAACTCTGCCCCTTTCTGCTGGACCCCCAACCCCAGAAACATTTGGCAATGTCTGGAGATATTTTTGGTTGTCACAATTGGTGACAAAGGGTACTACTGGCATCTACTGGGCAAAGGTCAGCAATATTGGTAAACATCCTTTAATGCACATAGACCCCTTCAAAAATCAATAGTGCCAAGGCTGATAAATTCTGCTTCAGATTAGCATGCACTCCCTCTTGTCCTACCACTCCCTCTCATCAGTCTAGTTACCTGCCTAAGCATGCAGTAGGCATGTGAGTTTCTGCCCTTTCAATTAGATATAAATGTTAGATAAAGATCTTAAGATTATTTCATAATTAAATCCAAAATTATCTCAGAATTAAATACAAAAATGACTTGGATTTCAATGGTATAAGCATGGAAGCTGTTTTACCTTTCAAGCTGCAGGAAATTTGTAGCCATTCTCCCAGCCAAGTTCGACACCTGTCTTCTGCAATATGGGTAGAATTCAGGCCACGAAGATAACAAGCCTATTCCACTCAGAAGAGAAATCATCCTTAATAATCACACAGTGAGTATGCCAAGGAAATGAAATCCACAAATAATCCTAAATCTGGGGCTGGGGTTGTGGCTCAGTGGTAGAGCACTCGCTTAGCACGTGCGAGGCTCTGGGTTCGATCCTCAGCACCACATAAAAATAAATAAAGGTATTGTGTCCAACTACAACTAAAAAAATAAATATTTTTAAAAATATTAATAATAATCCTAAATCTTCTTTAAATAAGTAACATCCTCATTCCATAAGAGACCTTTCACCATGACAGATTGAACTAGTGATAGAGGACAAGCAAAGAGGCCAATTCTGTAGTATGGATTTGAAATGTCTTGCAAAGGCTCATCTATTAAAGGCTTAGTTCCCTATTTGGTGCTAAGGGGAGGTGGTGAAACTTCAAAAAGTAGGGCCTACTGGCATTGTGGGACACTACCCCCTTCCTCTTCCTACCTCTCTTTCAATTCCATGAGATGAGCAGCTTTGCTCCACTATCCACTCCCAGCCCTGATGTGCAGCCTCACCACAGGCCCAAAAGCAATGGGGCCAACTAAGTGTGGACTGAAACCTCCCAAACCATGAGCCAAAAAAAACCCTTCCTCTTTTTTAAACTAGTTATTTCAGGTATATTTCAGTAACAGAAAAGTGATTAACTATAATCTAAAACAGAAGGTCTAAAGTATAGTGTCTTTGGTGTTTGAAGAACCAGAAGTACAACTACTATGGGTGGTTCCTTCCTAATAGCTATGTATATTGAGAAAAATGACACAGAAATAAGGTGAGAGAATAAAGATTTAGCAAGACAAGGAGTCCTTGTAAGCTTCCAGCCTTCTACGGGATATTGCTTGATGTTGCAATCAAGCCCTTACCGATTTTACTTCCTGAGCAGTCAGCTGGCCTATCCCCAGCTTTGCCAAAGCCCTGTCCAGCTGGTGAATAACAGTGGTATGAGTCTTCAAACGATGCCTCAAAAAGGGAGGAGGCAGGTGAGGTGTGAGAAGCATGGCCCGACTCAAGGCTTTCTGTGATACGGCAGGATAGGAGGAGAAAATCAAATAGTATCACTCAAAAACCTGAAATAACATGAGGCTGGGGGAAAAAAGAAGTCTTTAAAGTGCTTACCATCTGCAAAGTCTGGAGCTGGTTCATGCCCAGAGGATGGTTACAGAAACATTCTCTGAGAGCCAGGATTTCATGTACGGCTGGGTGGGTACCATTCTGTATCTTGGGAGAGGTAAGATTGGGAGATGTTAAGAGGGTCCTGAGTATCGCCCATACCTAATTTTAGTGTACACTGGCTCTAACAAAACTCCTAGTTTGCAGGAAGGGTTAATTGGAAGAATACCTTGGTGCACAGGTCTGTCAGATGCCACCGAAGTCCTGGATCAGAAATGAGAGGAATGACCCTCTCTAAATTACTAAGGATTTCTGAGTGGGACTGCTTCCGGAGACCATGATAGATATCTAAGAAATCAGTTTGTTGTTTTGGGGTCCAGAAATGTTTAATCAGTAGTTGCCTTGGAAATAGGTACCTGAAAAGAAAAAGAATCACAAAGTTACTTGCTGACACTAACATCTTTCAAAGAAAGCTAAGAAAGCATTTGGCAGACATGGATGCTAGCAAGAAGAGTGGAGACACTATCTACCTCAATGTTCTTAAGTGAGTCTCAAGCTCAAAGTTTAAAGATATACTAAAGCACAATTTCAAGCAACATTACTGAAATACGATATGAAAGGAAGCAGTAGTAGAATAGCCCAGCATGCACCAATCAGATAAAATGACTCCTTTTGAACTAAACATGTAACAAACATGTTTTGGACAGAGTTATAGACAGAGCTGGACACTGTATATAATGTTGACAACCTACTAATCACATGGAAAAAGGTAATAAATTTATGGATAAGTTCACTTTTCCACATGTGTGGTAGATTTATTTATTTATTTAAAATTTTATTTATTTGTTTATTTTGCAGTAGTAGGGATCAAACCTAGGAGTGTCCTATCTCTGAGTTACAGCCCCAGCCCTTTTTAAAATTTTATTTTGAGGCAGGATCTCACTAACTTGCTGAGGCTGGCCTTGAACTTGCTATCCTCCTGCCTCAGCAGCTAGAATCACTGGGATTACAGATGTGTGGCACCATGTACAGCTGTGTGGTAGTTTTAAAACATAGCCACAAATTCTCTGGCATTTCTCTATGGAGAAGTAAAGTTTATGTCGCCTTTGTTCAATCTGGATAACTGATTCAGCCAACAAAATAGAGCAAGAGTCTATGAACTCCAAGACCAGGTTATTAAAGGTCGTCATGCAGCCACAGAGTATGGTGGTGCACACCTATAATCCCAGCAGCTCGGGAAGCTGAGCCAGGAGGATACTGAGTTCAAAGCCTGACTCAGCAACTTAGTGAGGCCCTAAGCAACTTAGCAAGACCACATCTCAAAATAAAAAATAAAAAGGGCTGAAGATATGGCTCGATGGTTAAACACTACTGGGTTCAATCCCTAGTACCCCTTCCCCACACATTAAAAAAAGAATAACCCTGGATCCTCCAAACTAGTACATTCAGTAGCTAAAAATCACTAAGTAGATGATGTCAACACCACATGCATGGGAAAAGTCAATCACCTACCTGAGTCCTTCCCAAATTCTTGACCCACAAAATCATGAAAATGGGGTGGTTTTAAGCTATTAAGCTCTGAGGTTGTTTACTATTCAGAAACAGGTAATTAGAACAACACGAAAGGTAACAGTTTAGAAGTATCGTCTTAGGATACAAAGTAATAAAAAATGATATCAGAATATGAAATGCATTATTTTCCTGAAGAAAAAAAATTTGCCCAGTTTACATGCTTCTCAGGGAGTGGGATGCTGTTCTTAGGGATAATGGAGAAGATCATGATCTTACTTCACATGATGAAAGGCAGCTAAGTCACCTATACCTACCACTGTGATGCATCCTGATAACCAATGTATTACTAAGTGACTTTTAAGAACCCTGGGATAATGAGAAGATTGGAGCAGAAAGCTGGATAACCTCTGCCTAATTTCTGAAATGAAGTTCTTCCTAAAATAATTTTTAATTAAAAAAATCTATATATCTTCAAGATGCTGGGGATATACAAGCATGTACTCACATTAGCAAGAAGACCAGGTAGTTGGCAAAGGGTGGAATGGAAATGATACCTAGGAAAAGACACTTGGCGATGTCTCGGCGGAACTAGACAGAAATAAACAGATGTAGTTTTAACCCAAGTAAGTTTTTAATATAATGGACAATCCCTTCCATCCTTTTGTGCAGTAAACTTCTATTACAGCCCAGTAGAATTACCAAGTTTATTTCTATCTACTTCTAGATGGTAAATTCCTTGAGCACAAAGCCTCTAATTTGTTCACTTCTGCTTACCAAATAATATCTAGTACATTATATCAAATCCCTCAATGAATGTTTCCTGATCTGCATAATGGGTCCTAGATTCTTACTCTTCAACACTGCCCATCAAGTTACTACTTATACTTTCCTGCTTCCCTATGGATCCTTGAAGATTCTCATATATTTAGAAACAAGCTGGATTTTATTGCCTACAAACTTTATTCAAAAGTGTGACAGACACTCTATGGAGCTCTGTTAAGGAGAGCTGTAATTCTGAAAGAACCCAATTCTGGTGAAACATCAGATATACTCATTGAGTTGAATACTTGATTTCACAGCAAAGGGGAGAGGCTTGATCAGTGGTGAACAAGGAAAGAAAAAAAATACTTGAGATCTTGGTTAATTGTAATTACCTCACCATGAATTTCTGGGTATCTGCCCTTGGCCCATACCTGTCTCAAATGCTCCATCTCCCGGTATGAAAGTTGATGAAACTTTATATTGTGCTTCCACATATTTGTCTTTATTCTTCTAGCCTTTTTGGCATCAGCCCATAACATCTGTAATCCTGCCTCATTAAAGTAGAGGACAAAGTGTGATATTATCCAAGACTGAATCTTCCACCAGTTCCCCCTCTACTTTCATTCACACATGCACATACAATTGCCCACCCAACACTACTCTATATAAAAGCTTTAAACTAGGTAACTTGAAACTCTTTTGAGGCCAACCCATCCTTTTTCTACCAGCACACCACCTCTCATCCAGCTAAGTTGGTTGGGTTAATGTAATCTGCTATGGAATGCTCTCCCTCTTTAGGTTCATTACTTGCTCCTTTTTAAAAATCTAGCTCAGTTATCTCAGGAAGTCTTCCTCAATTAACCCTATGTATTCCCTGCCAGTTATTAACTTATCTCCTTTCTGGAACACTTTTTTTTTAATATTTTATTATTTTTTAGTTGTAGTTGGACCCAATACCTCTATTTCATTTATTTATTTTTATGTGGTGCTGAGGATCGAACCCAGGGCCCCACACATGCGAGGCGAGCACTCTAACGCTGAGCCACAACCCCAGCCCCTCTGGAACACTTTTATAAGTTATGTAATTCAACATATTTCTATGACTGCATTTTATATCTTTAATCTATGAAAATTCTTACATTTATATATGACTAGTTTTTTTTAAATGGTTTCATATTTACAAATGAAATGATATCTCTATTAGCTACAAAATAATATAGAAGGCAGTAAGAGCCAATCTTATTACCAACTACTAACCAAGCCATGAGTAGGTAATTGCCGAAGTGAGGTTGAGTACAGGGAAGTTAATTATATTATTCTCTCTACTTCTGAGTATGTCATAAGATTTCCATAATAGAAGGTTTTAAAACAAATTAAAATACTCTCAGACTCTTTTTTTCAATCAGACAAGGCAGCCATTTTTATCTCCACTTTATAGTTAAGAATAGGTCGTTTTTCTCTTTTTTTCCCCCCAGTACTGGGGAATTGAAACCAGGGCCTTGAACATGGTAGGCAAGCTAAGCTATATTCCCAACCTTTTTTACAATTTTATATTGAGACAGGGTCTCTCTAAATTGCCGAAGTTGGCCTTTGAACTTGCAATCCTCATGCCTCAGTCTCCCAAGTAGCTGGAATTATAGGTGTGTACCATCACACCCAGCTAATGATAGGTGATTTTTCAGGTCTGTGAAGCTGCAATAATTATGATAATATTCAGTTCTAACAATGTGGTAGTTTATAATTGGTATTATGATAAAAGTACAGAGTATAATATTAATAGCTAATACTCACTGGGCACTTTCTAGAGATTAAGAACTGTTCTAAGTACTTTATATGTGTTGATTTAGTTAATCTTCACAACTATATGGGCAATAAGTAGGTCCTATTATTCTCATTTTATAGGTAAGAAGGGACAGAGAAGTTGAATCACTAGTCTATCACTAGTCTACTCTTATGGCCAGTAAGTGACAAGGGATTTAAGTAAGGCAATCTGGCTCAAGATTGGACTTTTGAATATATATATATATATATATATATATATATATCCCAGATTGGACTTGAACTTGCAATCTTACCTCGGCCTCCTGAGTCACTGAGATTACACGCATAAGCCCATGTACTCGGCATACACACACACATAAACAAACACATATATATGAAATTATATACGTATGCATACACATACATATGTATATATATGCATATATGCATACATATAATTTCTTAGTAACTAGCATTAAAAAAAATCAGCCAAGCACAGTGATGAATGTCTAGATCCAAATTCAAGGTGAGCTTCAACAATTTAGCAAGACCTCCCCGCCCAGCAACTAGTAAGACCCTGTCTCAAAATACAAAGTAAAAAGGACTAGGGATGTAGCTCAGTAGTAAAATACCCCTGGGTTCAATCCCCAGTACCACCAAAAAAAAAAGTATAGGCTGGCTATGGTAATCCCAGCTCCTGGGGAGGCTGAAGCTAGAGGATCACAAATTCAAGCCCAGTCAGGTCAACACAGCAAGACTGCATCTCAAAAAATACTAAATAAATAAATAAAAGGGGAAAAAAGATGAAATCAAGTATACATAGTGCCTTTTCTAGGCAACATGCTACCTATAGATTTGTAACAAGCATTAGATCACAATTTCTTTTTTCTTTTCTTTCATACTTTTGCAATATGAATATGAAAGAAATTTGGGGATCAAACCAAGAAGAGCTCTATCACTGAATTACATCCTCAGCCCTTTTTATTTTGAGATAGGGCCTTGCTAAATTTCCCCGGCTGGCCTTGAGCTTGTGATACTCCTACCTCAGCCTCCCCAGTAGCGGGATTACAGGCATCTGATACCATGCCCAGCTAGGCCACATTTTCTTATGGGCCATGACAAGGGATAAATCATAGGGCAAGTCTGTACAGCCATAAATCCCTGTCCTTATGCGAGACACGGAATTTCTACTATAGCAAAAACTGTGGTTAAGAAAAGCACAAGAATATACTTTAAATTCCCCTGCCTCCTGTGTTGTCAGAGGTTGTCTCTCAAAACATCTTTCTAGAAACATTCTTTTTTAAAATATTTTTTACGTTATAGTTGGACACATATATTTATTTATTTTTATGTGGTGCTGAGGATTGACCCAGCGCCTGGCACACACTAGGAGAGCGCTCTACCACTGAGCCAAAACCCTAACCCCTCTAGAAATATTCTTAAGAAGTGCTAATTTATAAGAATTAGTTTAATGCTCAAACATTTATGAAACAGAAGACATCCTGGCTCACACCCCCTTAGCAGAACTTGTAAATGATTTTACTTACTCCAACTCTCTGACATTGCCCAAGAGCTGATTCGGTTATTTCTATTTTAGCTTTGTTTTTACCTTTCATGAAGATTGTGTACAGGATATAGAAGCGGGGGAAATGACGATTCAAGAAACGATGGTATTTCCCATTAATCGCTTTTGTCTTGGTCACAACATAAGAGATCAAACTCTTCACATCTGCCTTTGGAGAAAGGTGAAGCTTTGACGACCTACAAGGAAGATCAAAGAGACTATCTGGGAACCAGTCCTAGAAACCCCTCACACCTGGGATTCCTAATGTAAAATACAAGTCTCAGAGAATGTATGTCAAGACTTGAAACCTGAAGTTCAAGAAACTTGATCTTGGGGTCTAGGAGAGAGAAGCAATCAGATTGAGAAGGACACATCAGGCAGAAGTCAAGCGGGAAGAGAAGTCTGGAAGTGGTATGAGCCTGGGGACAGAGTGCAGGGCTATGGGGCAATCTGAACTGCAAGCTAAGGACAGAGAGAGGGTGGATGGAGATAGCGGCGGTAAAACCTAAGCCAAAAAAGAGAGGCTGAAAGATGAGCCCGGGTTGTGGGGATCAACCAATATGAAACACTGAGAGTCGAGAGGGTCAGAAATCAGGTCCCTGGCAGGGATCGGAGTTCGAATCGTGCAAAGAAGAATAAAAATCACGGGGCCAAGGAGTAGAACCCTGAGAATAAGAAAGCAAGTTTGAGCCGCTGGAAAGGCCTAGACGTCAAAAGTGCTTTTCTCTCTCCAGATCCCTCACCAAGGGGCTCCCCAAGCAAAGCCAGAGCGACCAAGTTGCAGTCTCCGAGTGACAAAGGGTCCAGGGGTGACGACCGAACCCCAAAGCGCAGTCCGTGCCCAGCACACCCTGGACAGCGCCATTTTCACAGCGAGGGAGGGGGGGAAGAGAGGAGGTCGACTCCAAGTCAAAGTTCACTACCCGTTACGCATGCGCCTTTCCTGAATGCTGATTGGTAGCCGCAGCCTGCTTGGCTCCCGCACGTGTGTGTCTGAGGAAGGTCTCAAAAAGCAAGAGCGGAAGGAGGAGCCAGGATTGGACAAGCAGTCTTCTCTGGTGTAGTGACGCCGGAAACCGTCTCTCCCCGAGGGAGCAAGGGCTGCTGCTTCTGGAGGGGTTTGCGATCCAGAGGTCGCCGTCTCCTTGAGGGCCCTGGTGCCCTCTGCAATTCCCTAGAGCCTTAGGGGTTCCCCGCGCTGCCCTTGACCTCCGCTCGGGGCGACGGGGCCTTGATCGTTAGGTGTCAGAAGTCAGTTTGGCATTGCCGGGGAACTCGGCGCCTCCTGGGTGTGAGAGGACCCGCGGCGCCCTCTCCTGGTGGCGGCCTAATAGGCCGTAACTGTCCACTTGCAGTCGTTCAGGGCACTTGTTTTTTTTTTTTTAAGTATTTCCAGAACTAGGTTCGTGGAAAATTGTCATTCGTTATGTGTGTACAGCAGAAGTCCAAGCTCGATCTCAAATGTTACTTCTCTGAAAGGCTTTCTCTGACAACCCTCTTTGAAATAGTGCCCACAAAAAGGATACATACACTCCTATCACTCTTTAGTCTTTATTTATAGCACGTATTACCTATGTTGTTTATATATTTATTAACCTCGTTTCATCAGCTCTGTGAACCTGAACTGTGATTTATCCCTTGGCATGGCCCAAAAGAAAAAGTGGTCCACCAGGGCATAGTAAGGCATTCTAATCCCAGCTACTTGGGAGGTCGAAGGGAGACCCATTTGTCCTGTTCGCTGCTGCACCTTCAACATTAAATGACATATTTGGTATTTATAGTATATGCCAAGTACATATTTTAGAATAAATTAATACTTGAAAGGATTCCTAGAAGTGGCATTTAACTGACTCCCAGCATTAACAGTTCTCTTGGGTACATAGGAGTATTTAATCTCCATGAGGGGTGGTAAAGAGAGCATTCCACTTAAAACCATGGAATCAAGTATGTCTGTAATTCTAGTGACTAGTGACACTGAGTCAGGAGGATGGAAAGTTCAAATCCAGTTTCAGCAACTTAGCAAGATGCTGTCTCAAATTTAAACAAACAAACAAACAAAAAGACTGGTATGTTGCTCAGCATCAGCACCTCTGGGTTCAATCCCCAGTATCAAATAATTAATTAATAAAACCATGGTATCTAAATTTCAAATGTTAGTACTGCCATTTCCTTTAAAGTGTGTAACCTTATACATGTCACTTTAGCTCTGAGTTTATTTCCTCCACAGTAGTACCTATCTTAACAAGAGTTCTGTGAGTGAGATAATGGTTTTGAGAGCTCCAGCATCTATATAGTGTTTTCTTGGTCACAGAGGTTTATGTCGGCACAGCTGTTCATGATTATACTACTCAGACAGTATAAAAACAAACATGGTCCTGGAGTGGGCCATACTCTACAAGTTGGGTGAAAGAGATAAATGGGTTAGAAACTTGACTAAGGCATGGAATGGAAACAAGGGACAAAATCAGAGACAGTTTTGTGGAAGAAATGGGAAGGAACTATCCTTGGAAGTATCAAGTAGAGGGAAGACATTTCATGCAGTAAAAGAATATGGCAGGAAGGCTGGGATTGTGGCTCAGCAGGAGAGTGCTCGCCTAGCACGGGCAGGACCCAGGTTCAATCCTCAGCACCACATGAAAATGAAGGCATTGTGTTGTCTCCATCTATACCTAAAAATTACTTAAAGAAAAAAAAGATATGGCAGGAGCACAGGAATTCATTCATTCCTTAAATATTTGGTGTTTAGTGCTTCTCCCTTCATGCCATCTCAAACTGACACACACACACAAGCCTTGTTGATTCTTCCTTGAAGCTACCAGTCAGCTTCCTTCTATCTTCTCTTCCTTTGCCCTAGTCCCAGCTCCCAGCCTCTGGTCCAGATTACTGCACCAGCCTCCTGGCTGGTTTCATTGCTATTTGCTTTTTTTGTTTTGTTTTGTTTTGTTTAGAACATCTGTAAATTTTAGTCCTTTCTTTACAGTTACCCAGATCACTTTTGATTTAGAAGATCTGAAAGTTAGTAACTGCCACAAGACAACACCAAGCAGTGACACATGTCAATTTTCTACAGAGTCTTGCTTCCCAGGGTGGCTTAATACACCACTGAGGGTCTTTGCTCACATTTGTTGGAATCACTTGTGCAGATTTCATTGCCATTTGCTTTGTCCTGCTCTAACCAGTTCTCCATGCTGTATGTAGCCGGAGAGAACCCCCACCCACTCACACACAGAGACACTGGATATTGAACTCAGGGGTACTCTCCCCAGAGCTATATCCCCAGCCTTTTTATTTTTTATTTTTTAATTTGGAGTCAATATCTAGCTAAATTGCCCTAACTGGCCTTGAACTTGTGATATTCCTGCCTCAGCCTCCTGAGTAGGAAAGGGCTTTTAAAATTGCAAACCAGGAGCGGAGGCACACACCTGTAATCCCAGCTACTTGAGAGGTTGAATTAGAGCAGGTTGGGACTTAATGACCTTCCCACAATGCCTTAGATGGCCCTATCTGGCCAGTGAAAAAGCCAACTAGAACTTGGAGAATGATATTGACTGTAGAAAGTTAAATGAGGTGATACTTCCTATCTATGCTGCCATGCTGATATTACACAGCTACTGGAGAAGGTTAGTCCCTTCCTCCTTTTGCTCTGTGCATGCTCTTCTGGACTTGGCTAATGCCTTTTTTCAGCATTTATTTAAAACTAGACTCAGCAAGACCAGTTCACCTTCACGTGGGAAGTAAGGCAATGGACATTTCCCACTGATATTTTCTGGTTCTGGTATATCATGATTATACTTTGTTATAGGACATAGTAGAACAACCTTGCACTCATCTATGCACAAGGTAATGGTCTGTCTACCGGGTATCTGTGACAAGTTCTGCTTCCTCACTTGTTGAAGTTTGAACATTAGAGAAGCACGCCGAAGCAAGCATATAAAGCAGGGTTTATTTTTAAAAAGGTAACATAGAGTTCCTAGATTTCTCCCAGGAGGGAGAAGGGGGCCATAGCTGGTATCCTGGTATCCCAAGAAGTGAGGTGTTCTGCCCTTTTTATATGTCCAAGGCTTTCTTTGTTCTCCTGCCCTCTTCCCCTTAGCTTTATCCCTCTTGCAGAATGGAACTACCCTTTGACCCATTTATCCCACTTCTTGGCACATACCCAAAGGACTTAAAATAAGCATCCTATAATGACATGGGCATATCAATGTGTATAACAGCTCAATTCACAATAGCTAAGCTATGGGACCAACCTAGTTACCCTTCAACAGATGAATGGATAAAGAAAATGTAGTACATATACACAATGGAATATGACTCAGCCATAAAGAAGAATGAAATTATGGCATTTGCTTGAAATGGAGACTATCACATTAAGTGAAGTAAGTCAATCCTAAAAAAACAAAGGCTGAATGTCCTCTCTGATATGCGGATGCTGACTCACAATGGGGCGGGAAAGAGGGAGTGGAGGTTCATGGGATTGGACAGGGGGAGTGGGGATGGGAATCGGAAAGACAGTAGAACGAATTGGACATAATCCTATGTTCCTATATAAATACATGACCAGTCTAACTCCACATCATGTACCACCACAAAAATGGGAAGTTATACTCCATGTATGTATGGTATGTCAAAATACATTCTACTGTCATGTATAACTAAAAAGAACAAATAAAAAATCTGTGAAAATAGGATGGAAATACCACAGGGTGCTGCAGTTGGCTTCCTGGTCTGGCATGGCATTTTGCTGTTAGTTTTACAAATCACTCATCATGCTGGCCTGCTAGCATGTGAGGTAGGTTCCTTCACACTACCTCCAGCTGCTGTCACCCTACTGTTTAACAGAGACAATACCCTAGGATTGTCTTATTTATTGGATAGTACACATTTATAAGTTCCTAGTAGACATTTTTTCCTATCTTTCTTTTTTAAAATTATTTCCACTGGAACCTGTGCTATTATCAAACCCAAGTTGATAACTTTGTTTGTTCCTAGCCCTTCTATAGAAGACATGCTAAGTCATTTCTTTACCTTAAGCAGGTAAGTTTATTGTTATTATCATTTGAAAACCTGTCTCTTTTCATGTTTGTGTCTCTGGTTGCTGTGGACTATGCTTACAAGTCAGACAAATGCCTTTGCTCCATGTTGCCTATACAAAGCTAAAACCTCTCACAGCCTCAGGGCACAATTGTGGAAGGGGCAGGACACATAAGATTGTAAAAGTGAGGAATGGGATGTATAGGTACACTTTGACATTATTACCAGTTTTGACCCAAACGGAGTCCTTTTTCCTCTTGGAGTCATAGGGCCAACAAACAAAAACCAAGAACTAGCCAGGCACAGCAGCTCCAGAGGCTGAGGCAGGGAGATGGAGAGTTCAAAGCCAGCCTCAGCAAAAATGAAGCACTAAGCAACTCAGTGAGACCCTGTCTCTAAATAAAATACGAAATAGGGATGTGGCTCAGTGGTTGAGTGCCCCTGAGTTCAATCCCCAGTACCCAAACAAACATTGAAGGAAGTTTTATTCTGGACCAAAGAATAGAAGAAGCTAGAATGTCATAGATATAGGTTTTCTATGAAAGCCAAGAATGCTGTAGATATGTTAAACAAAATGAAAGGGAGGGATAGGTTGAGGAAAGGAGGAATATTCGTATCATTTTTAGGGATGGGTGGAGATTTTCTAATAATTTGGACAAAGCCTTTTTTTACTTCTTCGTCTCTTCTGATCAATTCATGGTGATTGAGAGAGCAGGAATTTTCCTAGGAAGATGAACCTAAAAGTGAAGGATTGGCCTGCATGGCTTTCATTCCAGCTAAAGCAGGGCTGCTCCATTTTTTTCTGTGCTACTCCTGGGGGCTGAGTAGGTAATTGGCCAACTTCCTTATTTCTAGGAGGCAAAAAG